TCATGAAGGAGGTATCTGGTAGGGCTGTGTGAAGCTTTGGGTGCTGATTCAATTCGTAGGAGATTTGGCCCGATTCAGTGACTGACTCTGAATCCGAATCAAATCAGGGGACTAATTAGAATGCGATTTAACAAGGAGAAATGCAAAGTGCTGCACCTAATGAGGAAAAACATCCAACACACCTACTGCCTAGGAAATGACCTGCTTGGCAGCACGGAAGTGGAAAGGGATCTTGGAGTCCTAGTGGACTCCAAGATGAACATGAGTCATCAGCGTGACGAAGCCATCAGCAAAGCTAACTGCACTTTATTATGCATCAGCAGATGCATGACAAAGAGAACCAAGGAGGTGATACTTCCCCTCTATCAGGCGCTGGTCAGACCGCAGTTGGCATACTGTGTCCAGTTTTGGACACCACACTTTAAGGGGGATGTGGATAACCTGGAGAGGGTCCAGAGGAGGGCCACTCGTATGGCTGAGGGCTTGCAAGCCAAGCCCTATGAGGAGAGGCTAAGGGACCCGGACCTCTTCAGTCTCCGCAAGAGAAGGTTGAGAGGCGACCTTGTGGCTGCCTATAAATTCATCGTGGGGGTGCAGAAGGGAATTGGCGAGGCTCTACTCACCAAGGCGCCCCTGGGGGTTACAAGAAATAATGGCCATAAGCTAGCAGAGAGCAGACTTAGACTGGACATTAGGAAGAACTTCTCCACAGTTAGAGTGGCCAAGGTCTGGAATGGGCTCCTAAGGGAGGTGGTGCTCTCCCCTACCCTGGGGGTCTTCAAGAGGAGGTTAGATAGGCATCTGGCTGGGGTCATCTGAACCCAGCACTTCCCTGTCTATGAAGGGGGTAGGACTTGATGATCTATTGAGGTCCCTTCTGACCCTAACATCTATGAATCTATAACCCTACTTGACTGAAGCAATAGTTTTGCACCTGCTTCCTCTACCTCAGGGGTTCTCTACTTACCCTCACACCTTGGTAGCTCTGACTACACCCTGCAACATGCTGCCACACCTAGTCCACCCCAGCTTTACCCCAGCTGGCCCCACACCCCAGCACAAACCCCCAAAGAGTCCTACTCAGGATGCATCACAGTTCACCAGGGCATCTGACCTAGTGGGTAGAGCCAAGAGTGGAACCAGGGATTGCAACAGTGGGACAGAGGCCCAGAGTCAGGAATCAAATACCAAGCCAGGGGAAATCGATCAGCATCAGAGGTCAGGAAGCAAGCCAAAGTCAAGCCAGAGTCTGAGGAGATGAATATATGATCATGGGTGCTAGGGCAGAAGCGAGAAAAGTTACCAGAGCAGGAGCTACTCAGAGACTGGAGACCAGTAAATCATGCAGCAAGGTTTGGGTACTGCAGGAGTTCCTTAAAAGCAGACCCAGGACCAATCAATGGAAATGAGCTAGGCTCAGCTGGCCCTGCTTAGTCTGTTAGCAGGTTAATCAGGCTGCAGGGCACAAGCCCCACTTATCCTAATCCTTATAGGATGCAGCACTAGCTCCAGCACTGGGATCTGGCAGGGGGAAGAGGAGGTATGGAGAGTCCTGAGAGACTCCCTACAGAGTACTCCACTCCTGCTCAGCACCAGATAGTACTGCTGTGCTCTGTGTCTGCTTCAACTCTACATCCAGTTTCTTTCCCACCATGAAGTTTCCATCAGCTTTGGTGGCTTCCTTTTTTATGAGTGGTTGCATTTTTTTCCCCCCGCAGATTTTATGGATAGGCATTTTTAGCCTGGGTATTTATGGAAGGTCCATACATTTACAGACAGTTGGCAGCCCTGTCCCCACTCCAGTGCCTCAAGGCCCCAACCTGCTGGTTCCTGGCCACTTCTGCCTGCTCTACACTGCTGGAGACCATAGTTGCAGAAGTCTTAAGCGCCCTTGCCTCTGTTCCACCACTTCCGTGCCTCTGTCCCTGTGCCCTCACTCAGTCAGTGCCCAGGGCATGTGCCCCCTGCTCACCCACCTCTAGTTACAGTACTGACTATCATTATGTATTAGGTAGGACGTGCTGGCTGTCATGCCACTTGGGGCTGCTTTGTCACATTCTACCTCAATTTAAAATAAGCCCTGACTCAGTTCCATCAATGAAGCTTTGACTTTAATGAGATGGTTCTTATCATGCATGGCAATACTTCAAATACCATGGTCTTTATAAATCCATGGTGTGTCCACACCTTGAATACTGTGCCCAGTTTTGGGCCCCCCACTTCAAAAAGGGTATAGAAGAACTAGAGAAGGTACAGGGGAAAGCAACAAGGATGATTAGTGGTATGGAAGGGCTTTCATATGAAGAGAAACTAAAGAGGATAGGCCTATTCAGTTTAGAAGAGATGCCTGAAGGGAGATATTTTAAGTAGGGGTCTACCAAAATTCAGGTGGCTGCTGGCAGATTTCACAGGGAGACCAGAGCCCAGGCAGCCATTTTAGTGGAGCAAGTATGTTGTCCCCTGCTGCCTCTGAAGGGCCAATGGGCCCCTGAAGTCCTGTCCCTCCCTGTAGATTGCCAGATGGCTCCAGACCACTACTTGCTAAT